ATTTAAATAATAATAAAAAAATAGAATAATAATAAAAAACAAAATTCAACATTGATTAAATAAAATTCAAAATAAAACACATTTTAAAAAACTAAATTACATAAGCTTGTTTTTTTTCGACTGAACAAATCTTCAACCTTTGAAAGGAGTAATTATACATTTAATTTGAAGGTAGCGCATGAGTGCCCACAAAATCACCTATATTTACGTGAGTTTTTTTTTATTATTTTATTTTATTTGTGCAATTAGCAAATTGTCAGAAAAAATGTGGCACTTTAATGGTACATTTCTCATGTGTGACATTCCAAGTCCATGACCCCTGTGAACTATAATTATCCTTAACCCATCATCTCTTGTGACTTTTATATTTTATTTTATTTGTTTACTCAACAGTTCATTCATGTGGCATTTTTTCCCCCCAAAAAAGTTGATACAATGAGATACATGACCTGCAGCCTGGACTGATAGTGAGTGATGTGAGAACTGTCAGGCTGCCTCTATCTTCACTCAGACTTTGCAACAACATTTATGTCTAAAATGGTACATCAAGCGAAGAGGCTCCTAATTTCTTAGTCATTTCTCCTTAGCTACTTGAGCCTTTAATAATGTTTTGTGAATACAGCGGACTATTAGATGTCGACCCCAGCAGAGCTTTGTATTTATACAGAACGCATCAAATGTTGATACCCCTGGTGAGGTATCATATCACCTAATCTGTGTTTTTTTTTTGTCTCCTGTGCCAAGAAAATGCGATGTTTGGTTCACAAAGCAGATGAAGGAACCAATATTTAAAACAGAAATACACATGTGAAACTGAAAGAAACAAACAATTACAGGAAGAGATGGTTAACAGGAGATGAAACTTAAGAAAATCACTGTTCACCACACGTGAAAATACTAGAGGAACGTTGAGGTTGGTTTGCATCTATCAAAGCATGTCAGTAAAGGTCATCACACTGGTTTAACTAGATAATATTTAAATAATGGGAAATGCTCTGTCATTGTAGGGGGAATGGAGGAGATGGAGGAGTAGGAGGCGGCGGAGGAGGAGGTGGTGGCAGAGGAGGAGGAGGAGGAGAAGGAGGAGGGGGAGCACCACTCCTGGCTGGCTTGACTTTATGTTTGACCTTTTCGGGAAGGAGAACTAATCCTTGAATATAATAGACTGTAAGATATGGAAAATGACTGTGCTGTTATCTCTGTTACCCTGGAGACCATCAGCAGCACCCAGGGCTGCTGCAGCTGCCAAGTTATTAAGCATCCAGTTTGTATATATTGGAAAAATACCTTTTTTTTCCTCTCTCTCTGTCATAGCTGGTCACTCCCCACGGACACACTCATGCACAGTGGTTTAATACTATAATAAACAGGTTCCTCTTCATTCCTGGTGCCTATAGGACACTGATATATTTTTTATTTTTTTTTATCTTTGTATGAAGCATGCAGCTGCTGCCTTTGTGCAGATAAAAGTTCATTTTTATCAGCAGTATGTGTAATAAAGTGCTTTTTATGTTTGTTTTTTTGTCTAAATAAGATAAACCAGGAATTTTAAAATGATTTTGTGATGGTTTCCTGTTCTCATGTTCCCTTATTGGAATTTGCTTTGTTGATATATTAATAAATGTATTTAAAAGTTTTAGGACAATTTGGTGTGATTTGACTTTGGGCAGCAGCCAAACCAAATCATTTAATTGCTTTCATTATAGGCTTTAAACCAAGGTAATTAGACTAAATAAATAAACACCTCCACCACTCTCTGCCTGCCTGTGTGTTTCAAGTGTCAAGTGAATCTAAAAAACGGCCTGTTTACACACCCTGGATTAATACCGCTCCTGCTTGCATTTGCCATTTGCAAAATTTCCAACACATGAAAACATTATTCAAATATATATATATTTATATTTTCCTCCCTGGATGGAAGCGGCTGCGTCTGTTTAACTCTTATCCAGTCAAATCCAAGATGAAAGAAATAAGATAGACCACAACAAAGAACCTAAACCTCAGATGGCTCTTTCAGATAACCTAAAAAGAAAAATAATAATAATAATGGGAAAGCGCGCTGAATTTATGCCGCCAAATACACCGAATAAAGACTTTGCACATGCAGAACATTAAACTTGGAAATAATAGCCTGCACCGTGATTCCCCTGCCTCCTTCCCTCCACCTCCTCTATCTATCCATCTATCAATCATCCTCACAGATCTGGTCCAGTAAGTGATGCATTCCCTGCATTAGATGTATTTGTTGTGCGAGTTTGAAAAGGCGGCGATAATCTGGGAGCGAGAGATAAGAAATGCCATTTATTCCGCGGCACTTTGGAGCCTATTTCCCGGGCCGATCAGCCCCATTCTCCCCGACACCTCCAGCAGCTCGCTGATAACGATTAGGCTATTTATTATCTTCACAAAGAACAAAGATTAGCCAGCACCGATGAAAAATTACCCCGGGATGGGCTATAATCAGTGGGATCCAAGGATCCTAGCAGCATTGGATTTCTCTTTCTCCTCCAATCTCACACACACACATCAATGCGACGTGCTCTTAGCGCAGAAAATAATTATTCTGATAGAAAATTCTCATTAAAAACAACAGGAAAAGCAAGAAAAAAATAAACAGATTAACACGAAGAATAAATAAACAAAAATAAGAAGATTTCAAATGGTTGTGTTTTAAATTTCTTTTGGTTAATATTTACTATTTTGTTTGCATATAAGGGTGGATTTTGATTTCTCTTTATTACCTAACACCTCTCTCCCTTTCAGTGGCATAATGAAATCTTCAGAGCTGAATTGGGTAGCGACCTCTACTCTTTCTCCTGAGCTCGTGTGAGGGAAAGAGCCGTAAATAAAAGGCTGGATTGAATTAATGTCAAATCCTAAAATGGAAGTGGATGTTCGCCGCCGATAAGGTTTTTATCGCCAGGCCAGATCAAAAGGGCTCACACTCAAAGCATGTGTATTTCCACATTATCATGCTGATGAGCTCTAATGCTGCTCACTCGTCCCTCTGCTGCGTTTTGCTTTCTCTTCTATATATTGTGGATTTCCTCCTAATGCTGCTTAAAAAAAAAGAATTGTTCTCGAAAAAAAAATGACAGTCTGCTGTTTGTAGTGTGTGTATGTTTGTTTTTTGTTTTCCCAAATATATACCTATATATAATATTTATGTATTAAGAATGTGAAGTTGCTGTTCTCATGTTGGATAATTATGGGCAATTATTATGAAAAACTATTATAGATGGAG